CCAGGGTTCCAAAAGAACAGCGAACGCGGAAAAAACGTCAAGCCAGAATTTATACCCAGCTTCGACAACTTTGACATCCTCGGGTGAGACCTGACGGGTGGCAACTTCTTTGGCAAGAGTATCGGCCCAGCAGTTACCGAGAACCCTCCTATGCTCCTCCATCGTCCTGTCTCCTCGAGCTTGTTCTTGATGGGCTTTGATTTTGTGAATACGCCAGCCCTTCATACCTGTGAGATTGTTGACCTGTCTCCAGTGCCCTGACTGGGCTTTTCTACCATCACGAGATCGTACCGCAGATAAGGCTCCAAAAACAACGGCTCCACAGTCCTGGTAAAAATTTGCTGGCTCATCGTCCGCATCAACGTGCAGATGGGCACAAGCATGCAGAAGGCCATGGTGCTCAGCTAGATTGGCATTGCACGGTACATAGGCTGGTAAAACTCCTCGAACGGCCCTAAGGAGATCTCCATTTTCGGTGACTTCTGCAGCACACCATCCCCCCCTCGCAAGAAGGGGGGCGGTGGGGTGGACGACCGAACCGTCGATAGAGATTTCCATCCCAGGGGTAGAATAGGCAAATTTATCAATATCCCCACCTCGATCGAGGTATTCAACCTCGTCATCTTCTGGGGGGGGCTTAATGATGGGGGGCACGGGGATCCAGAGACAGCTGAAGAGGGGGTCAGCAGGGCCAGCCTCAAGGGCACTGGCAACAAGCTCGGGATCCAGCTCGTGACGACGATCTTCCCCAAACGGGCACTCCCAAACACGGTGGAAGGTGGTGTCTGGTGCACCGCAGTGCTGGCACTTAGGAGACACCTGATACCCTCTTTGATGCAAGACAGTGCCAGTACAGTAGCACCCCGTAAAAACCTGGCGCAGCATCTGCTTGGCAAAACTAGAATGCTTCTTCGAGCTCCACGCTCTGCTAACAGGATGGGTCCAAAGACCCCTGGCACGGATCTGGTCCGCTCTGCTCGAACCAACACCTTCTAACTTGGCGACGACAACCCGATGCAGCTGATGCTGCTGGAGGTCCTGGCCAAACATTTTCTGGAGCTGCGCGGGGGGGGCTAAGGTGAGGTTGCAAATCCTTCCACCCCTCGTTTTGACGTGTGCAGGGTCAACGAACTCCCACCCCGCAATCTTGCACCAGAAAAACATATCATAAATCGGACTAACCGCCACACGATGCCACGGACCAGGGGTGACTTTATCGAACTTTTCTTTGGCCAGGGTGTGAGCTTCCTTGAGCTCTCTAGCCGACAGATTGTCTTTGGCACACAACTGGGCATCCGTACAAGTCCACCACTCAGCACTGTACCTGCGGAGGGTGGCAGCAGCATGAAAAATAGGGTCTTTGTCTGGCGCGAGGCACCAGCAGAGATCGATGTTGGCCCCCGCCCCCCCTAGACCCGTGCTCTTTGCAGTCAGGAGGCGAAGGGCACGGATCTCACTAGGCGGGTGCCCCTGGATCTCTTCTCCATACGTAAGGCTCGGCTTGACGCCGCAGACAAAAATCTTTCCCTTACTAGCCGTAGTCCCCCGCATCTTTTTGATCAAGGGCACTCCTCCCCCCCCTCCCCCTCTTCCTCCTCCCTCCTCCTCCTCCCTCTTCCTCCTCCTCCTCCTCCTCCTCCTCCTCCTCCTCCTCCTCCTCCTCCTCCTCCCCCTCCTCTTCCTCCTCCTCCTCTTCCTCCTCCTCCTCCTCCTCTTCCGTCCTGCCTGCGCAGTGCGCTAACCTTCTCTCTATATACCCTCTCTCCGGCTCCGGCTCCTGCTTCCCCCCTTTGTCCTCCTCCCCATCCTGCTTCTCCACGTCCTGCTCTTGCAGGTGGGAAAGGATTTGCCTCGCGAGGACGGGGCAAAGCAGGAGCACAGGGGGAGAAAGCGGATGCGAGCGCCCTGCGCAGGGAGGACGACGAGGAATAACAGGAAGAGGAGGAGGAGGAGGATGAGGAGGAGGAGGAGGGGAGGAGGAGGAGAAGGAGTAGGAGCAGGAGCAGGAGCCAGAAACTCGAGGGTGAAGCATCGTCGGCAGCAGGAGGGGCAGGATCAGAGAGACCCAGTCACCCGACGTCGCGATTTTTTCACAGCGTGGTCCCTCAAAGGTCTAGACTCCTTCCTAAGGACGGGCTCTTCGTCCTGAGTCGTTCTTTGCCAGTCCCGGGGCCCGGACCCGGAGAGGAACCCCAGAAGCCGAAAATGGCCCCAGCCCTTCCGTCGTGATGTCTTCGCGACGCGAGGATGTCAAGGGAGGCCCCCGCGGCCTCGTTCCCCATGGTGTCCCGCCAGCGCCCCAGGAACGCCGGCAGCTCCACGGGCGCCGCGAAGGCGCCCGGCGGGCGCGCCGGCGGCGACGGCGCCTCCGCGCCGAAGATGCCCGCGCCGAAGCCGGTGGCGACGTGCTCGGTGCTGGCTTTCGCGACCCGGACGCGGGCCTGGGCTCCAGCTGGCCATCACTCGGACGTCCATTCCCTGTGTTTTTTTCGGTTTCGTGTGTGGATTTTTCGCCAAATGATCAAGGATGCTCCTCGATGGTCCTCGCCGAAGGAAAAATGCACACGTCCGAGCGATGCCAAGCCAGGGGCAGCTCTCTCTCTCTCTCTCGGCGGCGCGCCCAGGAGGGTGCAGGCCTTCTCAGGAGGCGGCGGGGCTTCACAAAGACCCTCGGAGCCTTCGGGAAGAGTGCCGCTGCCTCTGCCCTTCCCCCCTGGGCCGCCGCCGACTCCCGGGAGCGTGGGGAGACGCTCTCGTACGCGCCGCTGCTTCATCCCGAGAGTTCGCGTCTGACGAAGGAGGTGTGGCGGGCGAGCAGGGGTCATGAGCTCTCGGGCACAGTGGTGCCAATGCTCACTGCTGCTTGGCAGAGGAGGGCGAGGAGGAGGAGGAGGAGGAGGAGGAGGAGGAGGAGGAGGAGGAGGAGGAGGAGGAGGAGGAGGAGGATCAGGAGGAGGAGGAGGGGGAGGAGGAGAAGGGGAGGAGGGAGGAGGAGGAGGAGGAGAGGAGGAGGAGGAGGAGGAGGAGGAGGAGGAGGAGGAGGAGGAGGAGAGGAGGAGGAGGAGGGGGAGGAGGGGGAGGAGGGGGAACACTAGCTAGTGCTAGGTAGGAGGGGAGTGGGGAGCAAGGGGGATGCGGGGAGGTCGCCCGAAACCCCCCTGGAGGCACGGACAGGTCAAGGCCGTCAACAAAAACCTCGACCCTCGAATTGTTCGAGGGGGGCGAGGAGGATGAGAACGAGGAGGACCGTCGTGAACTCAATCTGTACCAACCATGCTGCACCCCCCCATTCCCAGCCCGCTCCTCGTCCGCCCCCGCAAGCATTCTCTCTCTCACGGCGCGGAGCGATCGCCTCGAGAAAGGCGAGAGCGCCCCACGGGCCCGGCGCAATTCGGGCGGGACCTTCCCCGTGAAGCAAAAGCTGCCCGCCGTCCTGCCATCTGACATGCGACGAGGGGGGGCGTACACCCCAGCTCAGAGTTAAGAACACTGCACGCTGAGGAAATCGACTTCACTCCAAGCGTTTCCTCAAACGGTGGTCCAGGTCCAGATACACGGACGTTCCACGAAGGACCGGATCTCCCAGAAAACGCCCAGGGTCCAGTCCAGTTTCTTGATTCTCTGGAGCGAAGTGGGGAGTCCACGAACATTTGCACTTCTTCTTAGAATTTCGGGGGGGTGTCAACTTGAAAGCTGTGCCCAGCGGCAGCCCCGCGCTGAACCAAAGAGGCCGTCCTCCGTCCACGTCGCTGCTGGACACTGTGGAACCTCTGGGCATACAGTCAACCCGTATAGTAAGGATGCGCGATAAGGATGCAGTGGCCTTGGACGCCCGTTTCGAAGTTTTTCGAGCGGGGCGCGACCAGCGAAAGTGGCGAAGGATGGACCGAGGAGGCAAGGATGCAAGGGCACCCTTGGGAAGATTGCCCATCCTTACTGTGCGGGTTGACTGTACGTGCTGCAACACACATGAAGCGCAAACTTCATTCGGAACACTGAGACGGAACCGCCCTCCACCCGTTGAGCTCTTGCGCTGTCCTATTGAGGGGCAACGATAGGGGGGGGGGCCTGGGCATAGCGGGGGAGGCATCGACCTGGAGTCGGCGACACGTCGTCGATAGATCGGCGATAGCCCTCCGATAGCGAAGCCCGCACCTTCCTGGGCGGGGTGGGGCCATCGGGCCCCCGCCGGCGATGAATGGCCGACTGGGGGTCGATGCACCCCCCCCTCATGCCTAGCCCCCCCCCCCCCCCCTGTCGCTGCCCCCGGTCTGTGCGCGCGGGCCTGCATTCTCGACGCCGGCGCTGCTCGCAGGGGCAGCGGGCAGGGTGTGCACGAGGGCGGCGGGCCCCTCCCGAAGCCACAGGCCTGGCCGAGAATTCGGCGCGCTCCCCCAAACGCCGACCACAGCATGTCCATTCGGTTTCCAGTAGGAGCTCGACCACGAGGAACCTTCCGCAAGAAACCCAACCCTGAGGCCCCAGGACGTCTACTGATCTTTGGTGTGGTAGCGTCGCGCTTCCCATCGCAAAGCAACCGTCGAAGCCCAAGAAACCCAGGGCATCCTGGAGGCAAGCAGGGCGTTCCTTGGCATGGGTTTCCACTGCAGATCCACCGACGTGTCGGCCCGCGTCCGTCTGAAGTACGGTAACACGTGCCGAGAGAGATCTCCGAAGGAAGCCCACACATTTCGAAGAGGAGCCGCCCCCCCTCCGTGCCATGGCTGGAGGTGTCGAAGGCGAGCGTGAGCGGCGCCACAATGCGAGAGCCCCATCTCTTGCAATCGGGCCGATCTCTACCGTGCAGATGCTGTTTTGTGGTGCGAGTGGGCGCGGCGCCGGAGCGGGAAACACATTTGGAATATGTACGACCCGCCGACCACCGATGCAACAATGGTACGTCTAAGGCAAGTGCGTGCGGCGCCTAAGCGAGAGCCCCATTCTGAAGACGGCCTGTCCTACCTCCTTGTGCAGCTGTGAGAAGTCTCAGACTTCAACATCGTAAACGGTGGCGACCTCTCAGGCGAATCGCCCAGTCCGTCCTAGCGACACGCCTGGTGGTGCCACATGGAGGAGCCATTTGCAGAAGCGAGGGGCGGAGGAAGGGGAACGGGAGGAGTGGGAGCACGAGAGGCAGCAGGAGGGACTATGGGGAGCAGGAGGACGCGTAGAGCCCTCGTGGCCCCTGGAGGCGCAGACTGGACAGAACCATCAACAAACCTTGACACCCGCATTTCGAGGAGCGCGGGGGGGGAGGGGGAGCGCCAGGAAGACGACAATGGTGAGGACGAGGAGGAACCTGGGATGCGTCAGCGATGCTGTGATGCACCTTCCCGTGCCCAAGTCCTCCTCTCATCCCCTGTGGACCTGCCGTTCAGGCGAAAACGCAATTTTGAAAGGACATGCACTTCATCATCCTCCTCCTCCTCCTCCTCCTCCTCCACCTGCTCCCTCCTCCTCCTCCTCCTCCTCCTCCTCCTCCTCCCTTCTCCTCCCCCTCCCTCCTCTGCACTGCAGGTGAAGACCGCAGAGGTCACATTTCAAATAATCCAGCGATAGCTTCGGTTCGAACAGGAACCACTCCCCATCCGTCTCACTGTTGCACGAACGCTTCCTCCTCCTCCGCCTCCTCCTCCTCCTCCCTCCACCGCCCGCCTCATGTCCCGAGCTTGTGGCAAGGTCATCAGCTCGTCGTTGCCGTTGTCGTCGTGGTCGTCGTCGTGGTTGTCGTCGTCGTCCTTCTGGGTCGGCGGCACCGGCCGTCAGGCCTTCACAATCATTGTCCGGCGATGTCTCCAATGTGAAAAAGAACCGCCATCCACCAGTGCAGCTGCGGCACGAGTTTACGCTTCTGGCCCTCCTGCTGGAGGGCGTCTCGGGGGAGAGAGCTCCCTCTTGAGAAGCAGCCGCCGTCCGCGCAGCGGCTCCGTGCCCTCGAGCGTCTAACTTTTCACGCTTAGGACGTCCCACGTGAGCGACGGTCAGACACTGGCCTTGCGCGAGATGACATAGCGATCTTACGCGGTGGCTGACGCGGGCCACCAGCGCGGCAAGCCACCTTGGAGACGAGGGCGCTTACGCGCGAGGTCACGCGGGGAGCTTACGCGCGAGTGTCGGCGCAGGCGACCCCATTTTCTTGCGTCGCTCAAACGAGACCGCAATTTTGAGAAAAGATGACATTCATCCTTGAAAAGGTTTGGGGACTCTTAAAACGAACGTGAGCGAAGCTGAGGCGAAAGCAACATTCGAAGACCGGGTGGCCTCCGTCAGTACGACGGTTGAAACCTTTTAGCAGTACTGTGCGCAGAGTTTCGGTGAGAGCCCCATGCTGCCCCGGGCCCATGTGTGCGAGTGTTCAAATCTGTTCAACCGAACGTGCTCGGCGCTGAAGCGAGAGCCGCCTTTTGAAAAACCACCAGCCCTCAATCCTTGATGCATGTAGAAACTTTGCATACGAATGTGCGCGGCGCTAAGGCAATAACATCATCAAACAAACGCCAGCCCTCGATACTCGAAGCTGTTGGAGGTGTCAACTTCAGGATGACAACGCGCCAGGAAATCTCAAGCGAAACGCCCGACCCAGCCTATGGACAAGTCTGATGGTGCGGCAGGGGGGAAAACCGGGAAGGAAATGGGATTGATGACGTTGGGGAGGATATGACGCAGGCGAAGAGAAGGAGGAATTCTGGTAAACAGCTGATGCAAATATCAAACATGAGAACCACATTTGAACAGGAACCACGCTCCATCCGTGTAGCTGTTGCACACTGTGAAACTTCGGAACTCAGAATTTGACTCGAGCGATAACCCATTCCGAACACGAGATGGCCTCCACCAACGTAGTTGTTGGAAACTGTAAAGACGAATGTGTGTGGCGCTAAGGCGAGACCTGCACTTTGGAAACGGGCTGGCCTCCATCCTTGACGCTATTGGGAACCTTTAAGACGAATGCGCGCGGCGCTAAGGCGGGAGCCCAAATAGACCCCCTGATCACTGTAACGGTTGGGAACTTTTACAACGAATGTGATCGGCGCCATGACGTGGGCCGCACTATGAAAACAACCCGCCCTGCAGCTTCATAATAATGCGGGTTTTGCATACGAATGTGCGTGGCGCTAACGCGATAATCCCATTTGAGAACGACCGTCCTTCCATTCGTGTGACTGTGAGAACTGCCCAGGCCTCAGGATGCTGAGTTGCAGGGCAGTCTAAAGCCAAACGCCGAGCTTGGCCCACGGACACGTCTGGAGGTGCGACAGGGGGGAGTTACTTATCAAGACATACGACTCATGACGATATGCACGAGGATCAGGAGGCGAGTGGCGAGGAGGATGAGGAGGCTGAGGGCGAGGAAGAGGAGGCGGAAGGTCAGGACATTGAGGATGCTCTTAGGCACCCCGATCGGCCCTCGGCACCAAGTCGTCGTAGAGGCTGGCCGTCGGCGGCTCCACGGCCGACCGGCGGGCCTGGCGCGCGCACACGGAGGGCCCCATCTGCCAAGCAGGGAAGAGTGAGGGAGAGGAGCAAGGACGATCAGGACTCCGATTGTGGCCCGCCAGTGCGCACAACCACATGTCCTTGCCTACAATGATGACGGGGGTGATGATGATGATGGAGCCAGATAGTGATGATGAGGGAGGGGGCGAAAGGGGCGCATGAAAGGGACAAGTGAGGATGAGTGGTGGAGGGCGAGGATGGTGATGATGATGATGATGATGATGATGATGATGATGATGAGGAGGAGGAGGAGGAGGAGGAACAATTGCGGAGGTTGGAAGCTGTACGAAAGAAAGCATGAGGGCAGTGAGATGTATATTACGGGGCTTTTACTCATCATGCAATAAAATATGCGCTGGCGCTCGGGCCAAACAGCGGCGACCTCTCCTATTTTAGTCTGGATCGCGCGGGCGATTGAACAGGTCTGGCGGAAAAAGAGACCGAAGGAAAAAGGTCACCGTAACTGTCCAAACACAAACACATTCTAGACTCGGCAGGGATACGCCGTCGCGGTCTGACCTGACGGGCGCGCGCGCGTGAGGGCGCAAGGTCATCCTTTGTGCTGGTGAGCTCGCTCGTGCTCCTACGAGCTGCACAGGAGAAGCTCACGCGTGTGAGTGATGATGGTGTGAGCTACTGCGTGCCGCATTGTGTGGTGCTGGTGACCTTGGGCCGCAGACGTGATGTCTGAAAGCCTGTCCTGAGACGTAGGCGAGATGATGGCCCTGGGGTCACGTGAGTGATGGGGTGGAGGTGTAGTGCCTTAGCCTGGTATGTGGTAAAGGAGATGAAGGATGGTGATAGACCTTGAGGGATGCGCACACTATTTTGGCACGATCGCCTCACGATCCGTCGGACACGCTCCGATCACGACCACCGTGGGCGACCTCCTCGCTGGGCGTGCCAGGCTCGGCACTGACCCTGGGTGAGGGCGGCTGCAATGGCTCGTCGGCGCTAGCCGCGCGAAGGGCCGCGCCGGCGCGCCGACGCTTGACCTTCTCCTAAACCTTACGGGTCATCTTCTTCTTCTTCTTCTTCCTGGGGAGGTCAGTGGCATCGCCGAGCGGGGCATTGTTCTTGTCCTTGTCCTTGACCTTGCCTTTGCCGGCTATCGCCGCAGCGTGCCCGCGGGGGCCGATGTGCGCCAAGGGCCCTGCCCTGGTCCAGAACGGGCGTGGAGTCGACGGGCGCAACGTCGGTCTCCAGCTCGAACCTTGGGCCGTGTTGGACTCGTCGTAGACGGCGGCCTCGCGAGATGGCGACGGAGGGCCCTCTGGCGAACGGGGGCGCGAGCGGTGGCGACGAGGCGGAGTGCGCGGCGCGCGCGCGCCCGAAGGGGAGCGCGCTGCGCGCGGTGACGGCCCCGCTGGCCGCTTATGGCCAGGCAGGCGGCTCTTGGACGACGGGGCGCCGAAAATTGCGCCGTCGAGCTCGGCCAACGGATCCTGTCCGAATCCGGGCCAGGATCGCATCGGAGTCCAGTGGAGCCTGTGTTCGTCTCGCTGCTGGGGGCTCCACGAGCTCTAGTGGTGGTGGAGCTTCGTCTTGAACATCGCGCGAGTGCGATGCCAAACGGGGCGTTTGCTTATTTGGGCCCCGAGCAGTTGTTGATCCAGCCGTTGATTCTCCGCGCTTCGAAGGTAAAGCCTGCGCGGAGCTCAGGGTCCATCGCGTTGGCGCTGAACGAGGGGCGATTGAGACCTGTTCTGGCACCGGGTCCGCACGATGCCAAGTGAGCGCGGAATTCGCAATTCCCTCGTCGGACTGAGTGAACAGCTGGGCGTCCTTCGAGAGCGCCGTGGTCGGCGCCTCCATCGCGGGTGCCTTACTGGTCGGCGGCAGCTGCGAGTGAGGCGCGGCTGCCGTGCGGCGTCGGCGCGGAGATGGTGGGCGCGACCGGGCGCGGGGAAACCCGTGGGCCTGAACGCGGCCGCGTGAAACAAATGCCGCTGGTGCCGCGCGCCGCGTCTCGTTGGACTGCTGCGCCGGGCGATGCGGCGGCGTCGTTGGAGGCGCGCTGGGAAGGCGAATCGTCGCCGATTTGCCGCCGACCTCGGCCCGGGTGCCTGGAGGGGGCGTCGGCGACCGAGCCCTTGGCAGGGCTCGGCCTGCAATCGAGGCGAGGGCTGCGTCCTCTGGCGACGCTTCTTTCGTGAAGGGGCCCTGGGACACACAAATAAATACACGCAAATGACAGGATCCCCCGTATTTTCCTATATTTTCTGAGTTTCTGTCTTCCCCCCCACTGCCCATATTTCCCCATATTTTCTGGGGAATCGACGATTAATTGTGTCTGTGTGTTTTGTCCCCTCCTGAAAGACACTGGAGACGAAGGCGCGGACCGTGGGCGGCGAGGCGGCGGAGGGCCAGCGGGCTCCGGCGGCTTGTTCTCAGGCATGTTGCCGCGCGCGCGCGGCAGCGGGTGGCCGCCAGCGCGCGGCGGCGCGTTGAGGGCCCGTGCGCGGGCCCAGCGGCGCGCGAGCCGCGGCCGGCAGCTCGGCGCGCCTCGGCCGGGCGGTGCGCGAGCCTGCTGAGGAAGAGATGAAACGGCAGCGGTGGCGGGAGTGCTTCTCCATGGTCCTTCCTGCTGCTGCTGTGTCCGTTCTCTCCGTGCAGGTGTTGGCAGGCGCGCGCGTGTCACCGCGACCGCTAACTGCTGCGGCGTAGACTCCCGACGGCGCGATCTTCCGAACGGCCGTGCAACTCAGCTGCCGCGTGACAGACTTTCCGAAAATACGAGGATGGGGAATAACCGATGGTGCCGAGGAGGATGAGGCACGCGCAGTTACTATGAGCATGACAGCACAAGTTAAGTTTCCGAAGTCGGCTGGCGCTCGTGCCCTGCCGGCGCGGTGGGCTTGCCGGCCGACGCGAGGGTGAGTGCGCGCGGTGCATGTGGCCGCCGACGACAGCCGCCGGCCACGGCATGGAGGGCAGATCTATCCATGCTGCCCTTGGTTAGTCTGTCCGCGACCGCGCCGCGGGTGTCTCCCCAGTTCAGGGCCCATGACTGGCCCGCACGGAGCTAAAGCACATGCGGCAGCAGTGAGTGTTCTGCCAGAGGCTTGGGTCTCGTCGCTGCGACGGCTGTGGCCGCCCCCATCGAGTCGAGACAGAGCTCGGTTTGCAGTGCGAGTGGCTGTTGGCCATCTCGTCGGCGACGTGCCGCTTCGGGACCGCGGGGCCCCTTAATACATCATGGAGTGTGGTGGCTAGAGCGAGGCCGTGACCGGTTGAACTGATCGCGGCCATCAGCTTACATGTGAAGGTGCTTTGTGTAACTGCTTTAAATGGCCCGCGCTGCCAGTCTAGCACGTGACCCGTTGTTTTTTTGCCAACGAAAGCTCGGAGGGTCTCCGCGTCTACGGTGCCCATGCGTAAAAAGGTGGCTGCGCGCAGGGCTCGCCCTGCGTCGACGCCCTCCTTCTGTTCCTTTCGTAAGTATGCGTCGCTGTGTTTCCCGAGATTGTGCGCGCAGCGATTGGGTGGACAGTCGATGCGTAGTGGCATGGCGTGTGCCCATCTCGCCACTGTGTTGGGCTTCCATGTGTGGCCGCACGTTGGCGCCGCTGTGTGGCGCTGAAGTGGCCCTGCGTGACCGCGCGGACCGATTCGAGTCATGGGCGTGAAGGCTAGGGCCATAAGCAGACTCAGGTATAGCTTGGCCAGGTTATCTGGAGGGAGCTCGGGCTTGGACTTGCCAGCCAGCTCAGCGCTTCATATCGGTTGCAGCGCCCGAGTGTACTCGATCTGGTCCAGTTCATATCCGCCGTTGTGCGCGGGGGAGTGACATGTTCCACGGCGCGTGAAGGTACCCTTGCTAACGTCCAGCTCTCCTTTGCCTCAATCACCCTGTAAGCATTGACGTCGCTTGGCCTTTTCCTGTGGTGATCCTGTGACTTCGATGTCGTCGAAATGTTTGGTGGTCAGTAGGACGAGATCGTCATCTCTGTGTTTGGCGATGAGCTCGTTGTCGTATACTGTTGGGATGGAATGGTGCATGTGGTTCGTGATCTTGATGAGTTGGATTCACCGGCATCTCGAAGCATTTTTGCACCCAGTGCCTGGTCTCTCCATGTAGAGAGCTTCGAGTGCTGGGTCGAGGTCTCCGTACCTCTCTACTTTACGTAGGACTGCGACGGCGTCAGGGGAGAGATCCAAGTTGACATCGCGCTCATCCTCACCTGTTACCTCCGTTCCTGGTAGCTGGTAGCTGACGCCCTTCAGAAACGCCCTTTTGACGTCCCACGCGTCGATTGTCCATCCTCGACAGAACGCCTTGGAGACAATCACGCGCTGGGGGGGTCGCGATGAGCTGCCTGCGTATGCGGCGACGAGATCGGCGTCGGCGTCGTTGAGGCCTCGGAGAGTTAGCCTCATGCGGATTGTCCTAAGCTTCTGAGATGGGTCTGATCTACTTCGCGTCGATTACCACGTGCCCACCCACCTGCATTCAAAGATAATGCGCGCTCCTCGGCGCGGGCGCCGTGAAAAGCAGTGTGAATTACCCGTGCTTGCAAGTCCTCGAGCACAGCGGCAACGACGGCTGCGTTGTGCTCTCGAAACTCTTCGGGGGTTGAGCAAGTTAGTGTCACGTAAGACCATTACCTTCTCGGTTCCTGCCACGTAAACCCGGAAGCGTCCACAGTGGCCGTTGGGGAGCAGGGTGATTTAATAGGAGTTGGTGCATATCGTCCAGGGCCAGCATTTCCACGTGGGCGTTCCCGGTCCCATCGGCGTCGAAGGCCCCCGTGGTCTCGAGAGGTGCAGCACCTTCTGTGAAGTGGTGGTGGTGCTGCCACACCTCTGTGGGCAGAACTTGTGGCAGTGTGTATGACGGAGCAGGATGGGTCTCCGACTCTGGGGTTTCGTCGAAGGTGGCTGAGTCTGCGAGCATCGCATCTTTCATGACTGCTCGTTGGTCGTGCGTTAAGGTCCACCATGTTGTGTCGATAAAGTAGTGATCGCT